GCGCCTGCGGAGATGCGGGGTGCGGAGGAGCAGCCACCGAGAGGGCAGCGCTGAGCAGGAGAGACGACAAGGGTTTCATCTCATGAATAGATGCGACCCAGAGATTGGAATTGGGATAGAGTTTTGAGGCTTCGGCGAAACTACTGACAACGTTGATGGACTCTCAAGGGCAAACCACGGTATATCCCATGATCGGAGGGCTCCGACCAGCGACAATGGTGATAGTAGGTCACGTGGTTTGAGTGTCAAGGTTATTCATCCGCTTCTAGAGTGGTACTAGGTACTACGAAATGGCGTGCTCCGTATCCAATGGAGTAATAATGAACTTATTTGATCCCTCGAGTGATCGTTGTGGCTATGAGGGGTCATATAGATCCCTTGGTGTTGGATATAGATAGACCGAATTGATGCATACACTGGACACATGCTGTGTGGCTAATGGATAGTCACTGTACTCCGTACGGAGTCGATATGGCTAGGATCTGAATCAATGTATCAGTTTCCGATTCATTGGTAGGTACTCCGCACCTCTCTGATTGGACTCTGATTGGAGTAGTAGCGTGATGCCATTGCGATCACAGTCGCTGGGGACAATAATTACCCGATCATTACCTCTCGTATTCTGCCGAGGAAAAGGCGAATGAAAATGTTGCCAAGGGATGATTATTCTTACCACTGTGAGTATTCATGGGATTCAGGGAGAAAACCATGGAATCAAACGAGGTCACACTTACGTCAAACACTGGGTCCTCCTCAGCCATGAGGTCGTACCCAATGGACGGCCATGTGGTCCTGACGGCGGGCGCCAGGGCTTGCTCGTCATAGGCTGTCCCGTGTCCAGTGTACACAGTAGAAAAGAGAAAGCAATCTAACATGCCAACTGTACAGTACTTTTTTCACTTGTACATACATCTTATTACCACTCCGTACATGTACATAGCACATATACATAACAGAAGGTATGCGAACTCATCAGTGGCTTGATTGCTCAGGTAGAGCCATCCATGCGGTAGATAGTGCACAGAGGTCCTAAAACTGTCGCACGACAGCTCAGCTCAACCTTCTTTTCTAGTACTAGTCTATCTAGTGATCAGTTAGTATTCTGATGATAATAGAAATAGAGCTATGACGATAAAGGCTTTCGTCTATCAAGTCCATCAGAGTCTAGAAGACGCTGTTCTTTGCTTGTTTGGGGTCAAAAGTGGGTTATCCCTAAGCGGTGGACTCCGATCTCGCACCAGGATTAGCCAACAGGTGATTGGTAATACCTTAAGCACTAAACTAGCAGGAATAAGACAAGACATCCGCAACGGTTTCCGTCGGACAGTTGAATGCTGAATCAGGTCAGCTGCATTGTTAGATATATTCTTATTATTCTTAAGACTTGCAACATTATGAGACATCTGGAGTCTAATCATACTAATAGTAAATAACGAGGGAGTTTATTGCCCTGAACAGAGAACTGTAAATTATCCTTCTAGAAGAACTCTGTGGACGGGAGAAGCCAGAGCAAACCKTGGCAACTGGCGAGCAGAGCCCTCAGGCAAACCGGGTTCCATGGCTCACGCACAGCGGAACGCACGGAGGCCTTTACTTTTTTCAGCATCTGCTGTGTTCTGATTCGCAAGTGCCACTGTTTTTCTTCTCTTTTTTTTTTGCCCTTTCTTTTGTCTGGGCCTGGTTCTAATAATTATTGGACATGGACATGGAGAATTGGAGATGGTCGACTAGTTCAATTGAGCCTTGGAGAATTGACCCTGGTAGAGTAATACTCGCGGCTGCTAAGAAAAGAAATGAGAAAATCCTTCCATTTCGCCTCTCTTTGCATGTTCTTCGTATTAGGAGTATCACAGACATTTCCAATCCATCGGTTTGTAGATATCCTATCCTCGTCTTGTCCTCTCCTTCTCCTCCTCTTCCTCTTCCTTCGGTCAACAGTCACACTCGCACCATTCGCCGCGTTTTCTCCCGATCCTTGTGGTTGTGAAGGATTGATTGTTTGGTCGCTAGCTTGCGTGCTGGATTGAGACACTGCATCTCTCTCCCTCATCATCCTCCACTGAGCTGTCATCCTTCTTCTTCCTCGGTCTGTCTTCCTCCCACTCATCTGCTCCACGTCTGCATCTGCTGTCGGCCCTACCGCCTGTTCGTCGCCTTCAGGCCCAAAATATCCTTCGCCGCTGTTCTTCAATCAATCACGTCTCTGTAATCAGAAACAAAAAGCAATTATCTCAATCATCTATCTATCGGCGAACTGGTTTTCCTCGCTCGCTCAACTCTTTCCTCCTCCTGACTCATCCATCGCGACAACCTCTTTCTTTCCCTCTGGTTGACCGCCACGCCACGTCTACTTCCTGCTCCCAACTCATCGATCCCCTGTTTGGAATAAGGGCTCTTGCCTATTTCCTCTTCTCTTCTGCTGCCTTCAATTCATTAAATACAACCCGACTGGCAAGCGGCAACCCTCAATAGATCATGTCTCTGTATCCTGCTTCGATCCTCTGCTTGTGAACCGCGCATCTGCATGTGAAAGTCTCATCCACAAGAACCCAGTTGCAGTCAACCATACAACCCACCACCACACGGACAATTCCCTGTGCTTGTCCACCATGCTGAAACTCTCACAATTACTAGACGCCAAAGCGCGTAACAGCTCCGATACAAATGCAGACATCTCGCCATTGTCCCGTCAACCCCCTCAGTCCCCGTTGACGGCCGATCTCTCAACCCCGGTCTCGCCCGTGGTCTCACTCTTCTCCTCCAGAGGTCATACGCGTGTCTCCAGCTCCGTCTCCTCCCTGGTCTCGTCCCCTGGTCAGGGAACTTCCATGGAGAGCTCAAGGAGTGCCTTGACAGGAGTGAAGGAGGAACCCCGCCAAGCCAGGGACCTTGAGGAGGAATATTTCCGTACGTCCTTCCCTCCCACCAAACGCTTGCTCTGCTTTGCATACTGATTAATTCTCGGCAGAACATTTTGACCAAGGCATGTCTGTTGTGGACGATGCGTACTTTCGACCCTCGGTCGATTGCTCTGAAAGTTATGATCTGAACGATACGGGAATGGACGCTCCTCATTCCCCCAAGAAAAGACGCGCCGGCAGTCTCTCCGGTACAGGCTTGTCGCGCATTAGTTCTCGCATTTCCACCATATCCAACCGCTGGAAGTCGAATCGCGTGTCGGACGGTCCTGATGCCGTGGACACCGTCGGATCCAGTCTACGGTCCCGGACAAACTCCGCCTCGTCCATCCGTGCCAGCCCGACTGTAAGTCGAGTCGACTCCATCGCGATCCCGCCTTCGCCTGCAAGGACTATCTTTGAGGAACGCCTGAGCGAGTCGGGGGCACAGCCCATCGACATTGCCAAAGCGAACAGCCAGTGCCAGGATGACTCGGACGCCCCGCAAGCCACCACTCCTCTGCTTCCTCCCTTCATGGGGGATGAACCACTGAGTGTTACTGCCTCTAGAGTCCAATCGCCTCTGCAGTCACCGTCGGTGGCCGACGTGTCCGAGGAGTGCCTGGACAACAGCATGACGTTTTCAGACCCTCGTCTGGCAGGCATCCCGTCGCCTCCGCTGTCATCCAAGCCGTCGGTCGCCTCTTTCAATCGTCCACGCGCCAGCACGATGCGGACAGTGTCTGGAGAGGGCCCGTCCTTCTCGTTGACCGATCCAAACGACGAGTGGGCGACCCAACTCGGCCATGCCAATTTCACTGTCCAGCCCGAACCTTACGTGCCTGAAGTCTACGATCTGAGCTCGTTCCGGCAATTACGCGAACACTGGGACCAAGCACAGTGCAACTTCACCAAGCACCTGGTTCGGACCGGTGAACACTACGGTGTGACCTCCACCATCTACAAACTGACCGAGGCCAAATGGGACGCGATCAACAGTGAATGGAAGCGCACCTACGACGAGATGTTGTCCCAACTGGACGCGACCGACGGCTCGCTGATGGGCATCATCCAGTCTCAAGGCAACCCCTGCGAGCCAGTCAAAATTCCTCGGCTCCACGATGAGAAGTTCCCCGAACTGGGCGATGGCGAGATCGTCGGTCCCATGAAAATTGCTCCGGCGCCGACAGCCTGCCGGGGCCGATCCTTGAAACGAAACTTTTTCAAATTCTTCCAGGATCTCGTGTCGCGATCCTGATTTGCATTGCATCCGCTACACCAATTAATGACGATAGAGCACTCCCGAGAGGTCTTCGATGTACAACAACTTGTAATAACCGAGCCTCTGGGGTTGATTGTTTGAGCGTGTGACGACTAATGTCTCTTTTTCTAATGACTGACGACCACCTCCACGTGCCTGTGACTACTGACTCGCAGAGCAATTGCATTCATTCAACATACTTCTTTTCATATGTTCAATATTCTATGACATGAGGACAGATGGGACAAATCTTCTTGTGTGGGGTTTGGGCTGTTCACGATGAGGCGCAAACAGTGCTGCAGATCGTGCAACCGTTCCGTTCCCTGTACCAGGCGCAGTCGATGTCTTGACATGAATCCTGATGTCGATGTGTCTGAGAAGGCGTGTGTACGTCTCTATCCAAAAAAAGGAAAAAAAAGAGAGAAGCATGAAATGATACGGTCTGCCGTGTATATGTATATATGTACCCAATATACCCAACATTTCGATAATGAATCATAGAGATTACTTTGATGTCCCTATTGCTTCGTAAGGCCATAGTCGAGTTTAGTGAAATCAGAAAAGGGTATCATAAATCAGAGTACATCTCCTCCGCCGATCCTCCGGCTGTCCCATATCAGCCAGTCATGCCGTGCCGTTTCTGAAGGTGGTCGACACTTTGCTTATCGCAGGATCATACTGCTGGGCCCTTATCTGTCGGTCGTTACCTCAGCAGCGTGCACCCACGCCTAAGAGGCAGGGCAGGCAAGCCCTCCACTATAGACAGCGTCATATGTAAGATAAAGCCACGCAAGCAGACAGACATGCGGCAGTGATGAGCTGCTAGTAAACGTCTGCAAGAATCAAATCCAGTACTGCCTCCATATCCGTCTTGCTTCGTCGTCCCCCTGAAACCGGAAATCCACGCGGACGATATCACTGAAACCTTCCTCCATGGTGGGCTCTTTGAAGCGTTTCAGAAAATCGCCGAATGCGATGCCAGGGAGTGGCGCGCGGGATTCCGGGTTCTACAGCGATTTAAATCGTCAGTCTCCTTTTCAACATTAGAGACAAAAAGAGAGACGTACCAAGGATCGATTCGCGGAGCGGACGGCGTTGTTGTGCTTGCACAGTTCCGGCGGACTGGTGAAGTAGACACATCGGATGGGGACGTTGAATTCGTTTGCGACGCGCACCCATTCGGCGCGTGTGTTGGGGTCTGCGTTTGTGTTGTCTGTCATGGCGTCAGCAACGTGTGTCTGGGTGCTTGCTGGAGGTTTTTAATGGGATAGAACCTACCCACGACGACGGAGGAACCCGCTGCGAGAAACTCTTTGGCGACTTTGATACATTTCTGTCTCTGTTGGCATCCAGTATTAGTGTACCGTTCTTAGGTTCACGGGGATTGTACGGCAATCGTACCGTCTTGAGGATGTCCTGGTTGACTCGCTCGTAACCCAGCGGCTCGAGGTGATTCCAGTAAAAGGTAGATTTACCGGCTCCAGGGCTGCCGCAGAAGATGACGAGCTCCCTGGGACTTTGGCGGGCGAAAGGGACAGGCACTGCGGGTTGGTCATTGGTATGCATTCAGCTATGGAAATGGACAAAAGTGAGACTAACCGTTCTCCTCGGTGTCAGTCTTGAGGTATGAAGACGGGTTGAATGGCTCCTGGACATCTTGGGCCGCCTGATTCAGGAAGAACTCTTCGGGTGTCTTGAATGGGATCCCGACGTTCATCGCGAAGCCTCTATGACGCGGTTCGCTTAGCGACAACTTCTTGGCCTGTTGCAGGATGAGAACTTACCGGTCTACATTGGAGTGATCTCGGGGACGCCCGGCCGCATCACCCACGTAGACTGATGCCGACAGGTCGACGCCAAAGACGTCGAGGTCGTAGTCTTCCACAAACTCCCTCCACATTCCCGTGCGCGGTTTTCTGTTCTCGTCGTCTGCCGTAGCGGCATAGACGCTGATGGGGATGTCTATCTGGCGCATCACGCCCGTCACCCTTTCCTTGAAATTAGTCAAGCTCTTGGAATCGGCTCGGCCGCCCTTCAGGTCTTTCTGCAGGCTGATCCTCTTCTGGTTGGACATGATCACGATGTGGTACCTGCGGTTGCGGTTAGCTCGATTGCCGCCATGAAAGAGACGTGCTACCTGCCCCTCCGCGTTCAGCTCCTGGAGTTTTGTCGGTACATTGGGAGAAAACCACTTCCAGTCTGAAGAGTCCCGGGGAAAGGTGTTGCCGGAGGCTGTCACAACCAAGGTGGAGTCCTGCGTCGTGCGTGGTCAGTTTGTCTTCGAGTCGCGTGAAAAGCCAGCAGAGCCTACAAAATCGAAGGCGGCCACTTTGGCCTTCTCTCTTCGTGCAGGTTGTTCACCCGGACTGGTCGTATACTTTCCGATCACAAGGCTGTTGTTGACGACCCTCCATGTGATCTTCTCAGGCTTCTTCTGAGATGCAGGTGTGAAAAAGGAGGCGACAGTGCGCTCTGGGCCCGTAAGCTGATGCCATTGCAGTCCTGTATATACCATGGATGACTTACTTGTGACTGTTGACTCGACTTTTCTTTTGAGCGGCGGCGGAGAGATGGCTCTGGTTGGCGAGGCGGCTCTTTTGGCTGCCCCGGACATTATCCTGAGTGTTACTACCCAACTGAGTATCTTGACGGATGTAAAGTCTACTTGATGTGGTTGTGGTTGAATTTATAAGGAGAAAGTGACAAAATCTGATCCTGCGGGGTTACGGGCTTGAGAACTGACTGAAACCCGGCATCAAATGGTCGACTATGGTCGATGAAATCAGGAAATTGGCATTTATGCAGCGAGATGAAGAAGCTAGAGAGGTCGAACAGATTGTGTTGCGTTACTTGACTGAGATATATCAAGATTGGGGACAAGTTGAGGTTGACGCGCCCGCACGCGTAATGAGGTTCACGAAGTCACATGGTCTATATAAGTTCAAAGTGCCTGAGACAGTGGCAGACAGACATTACGCACCAGCAACAAAATCTAGCCTCAAAATTTATCGGATTGTCGTTGCTATCTCTTTTTACTTGAAAATGGCACAGTCCTGGGAAGTATTCAATCCAACGCCAATAGACATTGCCGGGTATAATGCTAGTGTAACTATCAAAGCATAGACATGAAATCACTTGGCTCGAGTATCCAAGGACAATCGATCCGCTTGTTCCAGACGAACAGCAGACTTCAACTGCTCCCTTAGCCCGAAGAGATGCTGAGAGGCAATCTTCATGGTCTCCTGATTGCCGCCATCCTGGACTGTGATGGCGGCCTGTAGGACGTAGCCTCCACTTCTGTCAAGTAGTGTCATTTCCTTTAGAGCTGGCAATTGCCGCCGAGGCTCTTGAGATTCGGTGGGGTAGTGTAGGACGCGATGTAGAAAAATGACAATGTCGTTATGAATGAAGATATCACCCTCCACCGCATACTCGGTGACAAAGCTGTATCGGAGTCAATTAATAGTTTCTAGGGTCTAAAACAAGGAAATATTGACTGACTTGTAACCCCAGGCATTCATCGGGACTGTAATATCGCCTTTAGGCAGACTAGCACTGGCCATCAGCCGGGCTGTGACGGCCGATCTGGTCGCTGCCTCCGGGATATCCCTAAACTCCAATTTCCAGGGTTGGTTCTCGTAGTCATAGTAGTGCGTACGGACGGACGATTTCTCATCCGTCCCTGACATGTGTGCATCTTGGTCGGCGACCGGCGAAGCAGGTGCGCCAAAATCAGCCTCGGAAACAGGGCCAACGACCTGGGTATAGAACATGCCACCATTGAGCATCTTGTTCAGTCGCTGCAATTCTGCGCCCTGCAGATCCTGACTGGCACCTACACGGACATTGACCAGTCCGGGTTTACGGTATGCTTTGAAGACCAGTCGTCTTTCTAGGCGGTGTTGAGGTTGCATGGCAGTCAACCCTGCCAGCTGTTGGAGCAACTCATGATGCTGATGCGCCGGTACCGAGGCGAAAAGCAACAGCTCATGCATGATGCGTCATATGAAGACGAAATAGGGTCGGGTTGGTGGTCGAATGATATAAGTCGATGGTTACTGATACGCTCTGATCACGGGAATCGCAACGGCCGACGACCACAATAGCTGCCTGAGGCACTACGTACTGGTGCCTGACAAATCCGGATCCGTCGGCGTTAGGAACGGGCAAAAGTTCAAAAAGCGCGACGGGTAAAGTCGGGGAGCGGGAGGCGGAATGCACCGAATAGGAAATTCGGCCTGAGGGTCGTTGACATTCAACGGACCATTGTGAGTTCGTAGGCTGATCGTCCAGTTAGAACTGCGAACAGGTCAACGGGGAGCGGATTAACTAAGTTTCCGGCTATCAGGGGAGGTGATGTCGTAAAAGTGTTTGATAATCTTAAGGCTAAGACTGATACCGTTCTTGGCTTTGAGGAGGTATGCCTGGTGGATGATGATACTTGGACACAACTTCTCACATGTTTCGGGGATAACTGGACGTCCAACACATGTCTCTGACTCTCTAGTGCATTCGGTGACTTGTCTACCTGAGACGGACTGAGATGGACGGTGGTATGATTTGAGGATATGACCCTAGTCTCTACGGCTGGTTCGTACTTTTGATGTGATACGTTGCAACGCCATAGTAGATCATCCATAAGTTCGGTCTCCGAGGTGAGGGGAAAGAGTATTGATGAGGAGCAATGCGTAAGGCATGAGAATGAAGAATAGGCTCACCGAGAATGCGGGTTGGGTAAGGATCTGGGGAAGATCTCGGCAGCTCAATTCCCATATCAGCAGTAGACAGATACGTTAGTACGCAAGGTTGCAACTCGTATCCGAGCGGAGCTGGACACCGTTGGAGTACGGACGACGGAGTTAGCATGATCTGATGCTGACGCCGGCATGGGGTGATCCCCTCAATATTCCATCCTCGACCCAGTCTACCTGTGCAGCTGCAGCCTAAATGAGGTCTCCCGGCGTTCCTTTCCAATCAGAGATCAGCAGAGGAAAGACTACTGAGAAAGGCGTGAGAATCCTCCTCCGCAAATTCCGAGGGACCCTTGCATGAGTGCGGAAGAAGTCATTCAAGTGCATACAATGTACAAGTAACAGAGACTGAAAAACAGAAGACTACACAATAATAAAAATTACTGGATCCGGTATCTTCATAGAGTCAAGTCAAAGGAAAGGATGGTCCGAATTATCTCTCTTTTCCCGCTGGACGCAAAAGGCCGGTGGAGAGGGACACTCCCGCTGCGCTTGGGAGGAGAGTTAAGCTAACCACACCACCACCGGCACCTTATCAGAATAATGTGAAACCCACCCTCCTCGCTTCCTCCCCTCCTCCTCCTCTTCCTCCTCTTATTTTAACTTAGATTCCCACTCATTGTTCCCTCTTCAGTCTTTCCAACCTCTCAGTCTCTTTATATCCATTTCACTTACTTTGTATACTTCCATTACACCTTCGCTCGACACCAGGCTGGGTAGTCGGCCTGCTAGCAATAATCAAAATTTTGCTATACTGAAAAAGGCTACCTCGGGCGGATCGGACAGTACCGGATCTGTTCAATTTCTCACGCAATTCTCCTCAATTGATAATCTTCTCAACCTACTTTCTCTACCGCACCATCTCTCCTTTCGATTCTCTCGATTCTCCCTACATAACAGCTTCGACTCATTCAAAATGCGTGCCACTGTTGCTCTGCGAAGCGTCGCTCGGACTCCTCTGATCCGCTTTGTCGGTCGGCGTTCTGTGCCTCGTACGTATTATCTAGTCAGCTCCTGGTAATCTATTTATTCAGTAAACTAACCATGCTGTTTCCGCTCCTACTCAGAATCCATTGATCACACTCCTCGCCCTCACCCTGCTTCTCCCTCGGGCGTTCTCCCCGACTCTTTTGCTGCCTACCGCTCCAAGGCTCAGCAGCATGGCCCTCTCGGTCGCGCTTCTTTCTCTCAGGGATCCGTCGGCCGTTCGGCCGGCGCTTCTCTCGGCCCTGTTCAGCCCCAGCAAGGCGAATTCTTCGATCGTGCCGAGCTTCCCACCAGATTCCACCGTCTGCCATGGACTGAGGCTGAGATTGAGGCCATTGAGACTGGTGGGGCGAGCCTTTATGCTTAAACAACACGCGTGGACGCGTATATGAGGGATGACACGATTGATGTGGAAGCTCATGTCGACGATCGCAAAGTGACTCGGTAAATGACACGTCAGGACGGAGGAAGTAGTCGCCATTGGCTGATCGGAGGTCATGGGGATGATAGTCGTCTTGCTGTTACTTATGGCTTCAACAAGAGCCGTGGTATTGGTACGTCCAGTGTACCGTACCTTGACTAGCAGCACTTCACCCCCGTGCTGGTGATAAGTCGTCGAACAAACGACGGCTGTCACCTCCGTCAACGGCTGTGCCTGGCCGCCTGTCTCCGACTGTTTCTCTCCTTTTCTTCTTTTGCTCAATTCTATTTGCCAATTCCTTTGGAAGGCGCTGGTGGTTTGCAAGTCATCGCACTTAGCGGTTACAAGTTGGGTCTATTTTCGGGCGCGTTCAACACCATGGGGTTTCTTTTGATGTTTGACTGTGGAATATCAGGGTCTAGAAACATCTGTACATATTACTATAAAAGTCTGCTGGAATGGTTAGACTGTTTTCCGTCGAGAGGTTCGGCTTCCTCTCTCTGGTTATTGTTGACAACAGGAGTCTCAACGATGAAACTACAATGCATTTCTGAAAACCAAATCACCTTTGGGCTGTCTTTCCTGGGATCTGTAAATTGTTTTAGGCATACATAGACACGAAAAGTGTCCTTTGAAATGCTTGCACTCGGTCTGGAGCATGATCCTCGCATAACCTATTTCCATTGTTCGTCCCACGTGTCCCGATTCGCTGTAGCTTAATCAGTCGACCCTGGCCTGTCAACCTATCAGCACTACACCTCTCAACTACAGTCTGCAAGCAAAGAAGTAATCCTAAGGTTTTTGTTCACTACGCAGTACAGCTTTATCTCTAGACGATCAACTGTGGCACATGAAACCTCTATCATAGAGCCAGAGCCTTCAAGATGGCTAGAAGCGACGTGCGAAACACCATTGCGTTTACTGAAGTAGACGAGACCAACCATCCCACAGCAACTTATGTCTATTCCGAAACTCAAGAACATCTCAACAATCCACATGAGAAGAGTCTCCACAAATGGGGAAGGGTCGATGTGATGGTGTGTCAAGCCTTGATCCTTAGACTTATACGTGACTTGCACTCTCATGCAACTGCTCGGACTCGGCCATTGATCTTTACTATCAGTATAGAGACGCTGGACATTGATTGACAATATACCAGCATCCTTCTTCTACTCCCCAATCTCCATGGTCTCTAATGACCTTCGTCAACCTGCTTGTCGATGTTTTCCTGCCGTCTGGGTATCCCCACAGTGTTACCGATGATTATCTGCCGTAAGGATACCTTCCAGTTCCTGATAGAACATGAGTTGCTAATCATACAAAGGTATCAAATCTTCGTAAGGACCCGATACAATAGATTCTCGACATTTCCCGCCACATGCGGTACACATGGCTCACCAGAAAAGCTGACGCCTCGCCTCAGGACTCCCTCCAGGCATTCTGCAGCTCCATTGC